ATTCGGGTGCTGACTGCATGGTGCGCAAGCTCTGCTGCGCTATTTGCTGGCTGGCGCCTACGCGCTCACGGGCGAGCAGGGAAGGAGCAGGCAGCCATAGCCGAGCTGTGGTCCTTGGGTGCAAGTGGCATCTGTGTGTTGGGAAACGAGGTTGTGAGTGTGGCGAGAGACATACCTGGTGCTGGAAGCGTGCGACATTGGTCGCTGTATGCTCGTACTTCGGGAAAGCTGTTGACGTCATCATTCGGCATTGTAGTCTAGGCTAGATAGGATCTGTCATCTGTAGTCTGGGCGCCGAGCGCCAGAGAGGATATCAACATCGGTTCTTCATTGATGATGATGATGAGACTTTACCAGCATTGTCAATTTTGAGCTCTTGGTGTCTTCTTATTTGGTGAAACTCGTGATGCAATTCTGCTGCTGGTTCGAGGTCACGACTATCTGGTCTTGTGTATATGATGCTGTATGATTGCTGAAGTTCCCTATTGCTCATCTTCCTTGCACAGCTGTGTCTTTTTTAGGAATAGCATGTGAACAGATAGAAGACAGGAGCACAGGAACTACCCCTGCAATGCTAGCCTAATCTGGGTAATGGCCCCAGTCATCCGGGTTGAGATGTGGAGGGATTCCCGGCCTCCTTTTGCTCTCTATATAATGAAACATGCTATTTGTTTTAAAAAAAAAAAAAAAAAAAAAAAAGGACACGAGAAGGATTTCATCACCATCCAGAAAATTGCAGAGAACGCAGCCCCCACCGTCACTGAGACAGCGAGGACAGACTGGAAAACCATCAAGCCAGTCCGTCCCCTGGTCCCAGTTCGGTTCAGGAGCAGATTCAATGAGTGGCAGGTAGCGGAATCCTGCACCATGCCCACCATCAGCGACGATCGCGCTCTGGCTAGGTGCATCAAGGACCACATCTCCCCAGACTTCCCCCTGGGAGTCTACGAGGTCCCCAAATATGAAACAGTTGCAGCCAGTGACAGCAACCACACAGAGGATGACCGCAAATCGTTCGATCACATCCTCGGCAAGCTCGATGAGAAGGCCGAACTCCAGGAAGGCCTCACGTGGAGAGCAAGGAACACCATCACAGCACTACAGCGTGTTAGCAAGCGGATTATGCCCGGCAGAAGTAATGGCGGATTCACTGTGTTCCGGGGCTGAGGCAGAGCAGCGAGACTGGGAGAGAGAGGGAGAGCGAGAGCACACACACACGCTAACTCGACTCGACGCAGACTCGACACGACTTCATGGACGCAGACACAAAGTGGCAAAGTTGCAAAGTCGCAATCTTGGATTCCGAACACAATGTCGCTGCAAGTCACAAAGAAGCACAAGCACTGAGGTCGAAAACTGAATGCCCGGACTCAGCTTGAGTCCCGTCTCAAGTACCGGACTCAAGTTGAGTCCCAAGGGCAGAAGTGCAATTCGCCTCGGCGCTGAACTCGAAATCGAAGGTCTGAGCCTGGGCGCCAGAATGCCGGATGCCGCCAAGTATCGAAATCCGAAAGTGAGGAGGAATTTGAGAACGGGCGCCAACTGCAGAGGGCGCCAACAGTCAGGAACCGGAGATCAGGAACTCAAAAATAAAATAGCAGCCTGGCGGGTGGTAACCCGCGGACCAGGGATCGAGCCCTGTCTGAGTCCGAGTCMGTAACACACTGACCATTATAGTCAAGACACACCTCCTCGTCTCGAAAATTTCCCTGCAAGACGAGGCTACCCGGTACACGTAGAAAAGGGGGTCAGCGACAGCGACGAGGCGACAAGATCTCCCCAGGCAACGACGACACAGCGATCCCAGCCCTGCCAGAAGGCAGCGCAAGCACTTACAGCCTAGGCCCATCCGACAGCAAGGAGGACAGTGGGGTTTCATACATGGAGAGCCCTGCAACAGCCACAGCAGTGGATAAGGAAGCGCCACCAATGACCGTACAACTAACCCCACTACCCCAAAATAACAGCACCACTCACAATAGCAACAGATAGGTAGACACACCAGGATCAACAGAGTCGAACGCAGAGTCGATCAATGTCTGCCGATGCATCTCAGGACAATATCATCACAACAGACTAGCAAGCCAAAGGCCTCAAATCATCAGCTGGAACGTGAATCGGTTGGGAAACGCACTCACGGAGGAAGACAAATCAAGAGACATTCGGCTAGGCCTGTACGACAACAACAGACCCAAACCAGATGTGATCCTACTCCAAGAAACACACCTATCTAATCTCACAAACCATGGCAATATAAAGAGAGCAATAGAAAAATGCCTGGGGGGGTGTGCTTTCGCCCTATGGTCCAATCTAGAAGGGCTCAGCAAACGGGGGACAGCAATACTCATATCAAACTCCTCCAACCTCTGGTCAGCAGGTCAGATTCTCAACAGCGAGGGAGACTGCGATGAAGGCAGATGGTCATGGCTGGATATTAGATGGCAAGACGGGGAACTGAGAATCCTCAACGTCTACGTTCCCAACGCAGAAAATGAACACCTAGCCTTCTTTAGCATCATCCAATCCCTCATCCCAAATCCCTAACTGGTGATCATCGCAGGTGACTGGAACACAACCTTGGACCCCAACCTCGATCGTATCTCTCTCTCCCTACTGATAGGCCTGACACGAGTTGGAACCCACATAAGTAACATCATGACAGCGTTCGATCTGGTCGACCCCTTTAGAACGCTGCACCCAGAGACAAAAGCCTTCTCACTGGTAAAAACAATCAGGCCAGCCGGACATCGTTATCCCGGATCGACTTCTTCTTGATATCCAAGCACCTCCAAGGCACAGTCAAGCGGGCCGAGACCGACCACCAGCGGCCTTCAGGGGATTAGACCACAAACCTATCGAATTGCTCCTAAACATAAACCCCCCGGTGGAAACAGGACATGGTTTCTATAGGTTAAACAACTTCCTCTTAGCCACTGAACGCCCGACAGAAACAGTCAGATGGAACTGGTTCTTCCTAAGACAGAACAATTCCAGACAGAACAACCAATACCAATGGCTCATTGACAGTTACTTAGACCTAACTCAAACAGTCTCAACGGAATCCAGAAGTAAAGCAAACGAATGAAAAATCAGAAAAGAAATACTCCAACTCGCCACATCACTCGCCGAAGACGACCTCATTACAGACCCCTCAAACACTTTCTACAGCCAATTACTTGAATCAGCAAGAGATGTACTTGGAGGAGGTGGGAGTTGAGAGGTCTGCAGATATGAGCCAGGATGACCGATCACACCCTCAACGAATCCATTGCAAAGTTCTTCTTCGCAAAAATAAAAGCGAGCACCAGAAACAATAGCATTGAAGGGTTGAAGGACCCGGACAATCAAAACAGGGTCGACCAATCAGGCTCAGGGATGGTGAAGATAGCTAGATCTACGCACACCTCTATGAATCCAAAACACCCTCCCCCCACTTCATCCAACTTAGCCACACGACAACAGATGATGACCTACCTGGACAGGACCATCACACACGAACAGACCGAAGGGTTAGACAGACCTATCTCGCTGGGAGAATTGCACACAGCCTTGACTCAAATGGGCAACGAAAAAGCCCCGGGAATCGATCGACTGTCAAAAGAATTTTGGGTCCACTTTTGGCCCACACTAGGCGAGGATCTCCTCAATTTTTTCAATGGCAGCGGGGACAGAGGAGGGCTAGGCCAAATCCTAAGTACAAGTGTACTCTCTCTGCTTCATAAAAAAGGCAACAAAGAGGATCTGAAAGACTACAGACATATCTCGCTACTCACGACCCCCTACAAAATCCTAGCGAAAGCACTGGCAAATAGGATCATAAGTCTAGCAGACAAATGCTTTCACATCGACCAAGCGGGTTTCATCCCAGGCCGGTACATACTCGACAATGTGATGACGTTGAACAAAGCGGCCAAAAACATTATTAAGAAATAAATGAAAGCAGCCATCTTGTTTTTCGACTACAAAAAAGCCTACGACCGAGTCAACTGGGATTTCCTCCATGCATGCATGGAGAAGATGGGGGTCGGCCCGAATTTTAGAAAGTGTGGTCAGGGTCCTCTGCTCCGACACAACCGGC